AAAAAGCATCTGGATGAGTATATGAATAGGAAGGAGTTCGAAGGATATGGGCCAAAAATACTGGCAAATGGGATTAGATTTATTCAGGATATCTGCTCAGCAAGGACGATTTGGACAGCAAGGAAGTCATGTTTGGTATGGCAGACGACCAGGCAGATAATGGAAATGAGGTTAAGGAGGTGGACTTCCATTTTTGGAATCACTAATAAATTGATTAAACCTCAACATTTTAGGAAAGGGTGTGAAAAAGCAGTTTGATGAAGACCATCAAGCAACTAGATGTAAGATTGCTTTTGAACATGAGGTTTGCAGACGTCTGGAGATTGATTTCACAACTGAGATCCTTGCTTCCCCTGGGGGAGAAAGCATTAAATCTTACTTTGTTGGAACATGTGCTGTAAGGCAATGCAGATTATGAGATTGATTGTAATAATTTCACTGAGTGATTTTTCTTTTGTTTGTGGTCATCAAGGTGAGACACGTTTGATTTATGGGCTAAATCTCTTCTGGAGCACATTCTCATCATGTTAGATGCAGAGTACAGATTTTGTGATCTGGCAAATATTGTGCCTAATTTCTGTTCAACTGATGGAAATTCTTTTTTCATTCCCATGCTACTCATTGGCTTTTCCACATTATTGATATTAATTAATATTGGGTACACAGCGAATTGGACCCAGAATGTTACAGTCATTTTATTTTGCGCGTTTATAGCTGACAAATAGAGAAAACTTTTATCTCATAAATCTGTATTAAATTTGAACTCAGATCACTGAAGTGAAAAGCAAGTATCTAATTCAGTCCAGCAGGCAGCTTCTCTAGGTAGATTATTTTCTAACACTGTGTCATTTTTCATTGACTGCTTAGGATGTCAAACACATGCAATTTATTTACACTAATATATAACGAGTAAATCTCCGCTGGTAGTGCACAGGGAAAATAATGTAAACTTGAGGCAAAACAGTTTCAGAAGTTGGGAGATAACTCAACCAGTGAATAAATGCATTCCAGTGCAGTCCTTATAGTTATACATTGATTTCATTATAATAGTTACATTTTGTTTTGTCTATGTTATGTACACAGGTCAAATGTTATAACAACTTTGACAGGACAGAAGTAAAGTTGATTTTTGACCTTTTAGTATTTTTGTGGTAAAGTTGATTTTGACCTTGTGGACACTTTTATTGTGAAGGTGAAAATCTTTTCAGGATGTTACAGTGCTGTCGCTAGTGAGACGTGCAATTATAGTGCAATTAATTGGAAAGACTGTTGTCAATTTGAACACAGAGATAGACAATTATAGTGGAAACATTGACACAAGAATTATTTGAAGACACATATATGCCATTAGAAATGAATAATAGTAACAAATGTACAAGATCAAATTTTACAAAATTGCACACCCACCCAGGTCTTTCGCCAATGTGGGATGACAATCTTTTAAATTGCCTTATGAGTAATTGCACAGATTTGGTGGTAAAAATGAAAATGAGGGCATCAATGCACACTGTTACTGAAAAACAGTTTGGATAGCAGCTTCTGATGATTGTACATATGCAGATAAGTGTAGAAATCAGAAGTTGATGTTTGAATTACCCTGTTTTTCCAGAAACACTGTCACCATGGAGTCTTGCTGAGAGATCCAATATTGAAATATTATGAAATGATATGAAGTTATACTTGCATTTTAGATACACACTGAACAGACTATTAATTTTTTAAGTGGTGTGCTACCTCTTAATTACTGCCAAAAAAACCTCTTGTCACTAAAAGTAAATTTTTGTAAGTGTGGAGTTTCAATCCTTCAGACATTAATTATTGTTAAGCACAAAACAACTAAGATTTTAAAATTAAACATTTATTTGTCTTTCAATTTCTTTTGCATGTCTCTTTACACTTCTTTGATCCTCTCATTTTCTCTCAACATGATTTAGCTTTGAATTAACTATTCCAGTTTTCCTTACCTGTTTCAGATTCTCTGGAGTGTTAGTAACGGGAAGACGAGGAAGGAGTTCAGATGGGGAGGCACCTCTGTGTTAGGGAAATACTGAGGAGCAGATGACTCTCAGGTCCTACTGAAATCAATAGAGCTGCCTGATTACCATTTTTTTGTCATTGCTTTCTGGCCACTACCAGTAGTAGGTCTGAAACATGCAAATTAGGGTTAGAGCAGACATTGACTAGCTGGGGGAATATGAGAGATTGGAGAGATCAGAGAGGAAGGGAAAAGGTTGTGGAGAGACTGGAAAAGTCAGGGGCTGGGGTGCGGTGACTGGGGCAGGGCTGCAAAGATTGTATGGAAGCCATGGATGATATTGGGAGGACACTATTTCAGAGGGAGGGTGGAGATTCTATTGCTGGAAAGGTAATTAGGTTTTCTTGAGGGGCTTGCTGGAAAGCATCACTGATCCTCCTTCATTAGTCAGAGCATTGAATGTAGGAGTTGGGACATCATGTTGCAGTTGTACAGGTCATTGGTGAGGTCACTTTTGGAGTACTGTGTAGAGTTCTGGTTGCCCTGCTATAAGAAGGATATTATTAAATTGGACAGGGTGCAGAAAAGATTTATAAGGATGATGCCGGGACTGCAGGGATTGAGTTATATGGAGAGGATGGTTAGGCTGGGACTTGTTTCCTTGATGTGTAGGAGGTTGAGGGTTGACCTTATAGAGGTTTATAAAATCTACAAGAGGCATAGCAAAGATGAATAGCAAAGGTCTTTTCCCCAGGGTAGGGGAGTTCAAAACTAGAGGGCATAATTTTAAGGTGAGAGGAGAAAGATTTAAAAGGGACCTGAGGGGCAACATTTTCACACAGAGGGTGGTTCGTATGTGGAATGAACTGCCAGAGGACATGGTAGACAATGGTACAGTTACAACATGTAAAAGACATTTGGACAAGTACATGAAAAGGAAAGTTTGAGAGGGATAGGGGGCCAAATGCAGGCAAACGGGACTAGTTTAATTAGGGAAACCTGGTCGGCGTGGATGAGTGGGACCGAAGGATCTATTTCTGAGCTGCATGGCTCCATGACTCCATCTGTTTCATTCAGTACTGCTGACCTTCCTTTAGCTGTTAAATTTCTAGATGCCTAGCCAGCTGGCATTAAGACTGGAAGAGATGAAAATCAACAGACACGCAGCCTTATTAGTTGTTTAAATAAGCAACTCATCCCCTGGCAATGGTTTGGTTAACTGCCATCATACCCACCATCAACCCCTGCCAATCTACCTCTGTTTAAATTGAAAGTGGGTGTGTTTGAGATTTGAGTATATTCGTTCTTCCACCTGATCCAAACCTTCCAGGTTTTCTAGTTTAAAAACTCCCTCCACCCCTAACTGGCATATCTCAGAAAGGATTCTTCACACGTTCTCCCTGTTAACATAGATCCCTGATCCCCTATAGCGGATACAATGCTGCTCTGTATGACCAGTAGCCACAAACTCAACCGTAAAAAGCCCATCTCGTGTATATCTTTTAACAGTCTTGTTAAAAGATATACAAGAGATGGTGATCTTGAGTCCAGGGTCATGTATTCAGAATTGACACATTCATGTATCTACAGAGAAGATTCATTTTCAGTTGAAACCATGGTCCTGATTCTCTGATTCTCCAAATTCTCTGATTTGACAGAGCCAAACAAGAAGCTGAGACTGTACAATACCTTCAAACAGATAAGGGGGATATTATAGTCAACATTAGAGAAGACTCAGTTTCTTGTTGCATCGCAACCCTATTACTCGCTGCTATTTATTTCTTATCCTTTAGGTTAACTAACAATGGTACTAACAACAGCTTATATTTCAGATTGTACTTTTGATGTGAAAGAGTTCTTGACTCATAGGTATGGATGCCTCAGCTGATGATCATTTTATGCTGCAGTCTGGTGATTAACTGACTTCGCAACTGAAGAGAAAACCCTCCAGAGGTTTCACCACATTATCTATTTATCCAGAATTATGAGGCTTTGCATGTATCATTTTTGACAATATGTAAATGTTTTCACACACACAGCCGTACCTCCATCACTTTAGGCTTCACTAGCTGCATTCCTGTACAAAGTCCAATCCTTCCAAAGCACTATTCTTGAACATTATCCTGTCAAGAGCCATGCTCACCTTATACATATGTCTTCACTGTACTGTATTGGCTTCCGACTCTCCAACTGTGTTTACATATCCTGACTTAATTAATTTGTTTACTTTATCCAGCTGTATAGCTCTGCCATCTACTCCTTTGACTCTGATCTCTCATGCCTTTCCTTGCCACAGTAATGTAACCTCCATTTCCGACCATCATATGAACCTTGACTCTGCATTCTGCAACTAATGTCCAATGGATTCCCCTCTTATGCTGTCTGTCTACAGTCTCTCTCCCAACCTGCGGTAGTCTCTACATAACTAACCTCTTCAATTATGTCCTCAAATACTTCCTTGAGCTGTTTGTTGCAGTGTTAACTTCACTAAAATTGTAACATAAACACGAGTTGTTATAATGTGCTTGCTTCATTGCTAATGCACATTGATGCAAACAACTGCCAAAACATGCCGAGTATGTGGAGATTGTGTTTATTAGCATTTCTGAAAGGTGCTTTTTCTTGCTCATTATTGCTTTTTGTTGTAATACTACGGTAACCATTCAAGTTCATTGCTTTGAAGTGATATTTGATGTACAATCATTAACCCGATTTAGTTTGACCTGGAATGTTTTCTTCAGCTAAGGTGGTTTGTGTTGTCTTATTTCAAGGTTACAAATTTTCCTTCCAAGCAGGGCAGGTTACCTTTTTTGGTTCAGTGATTGCTGGCTCCAGTTGTCGAGGTGAGGTTGAAACTGAGGTAGCAGACAAACAAGCTGATTGGCTCCATTTTGCATGCAATTTCACTTTGCAACCTCATGGAGAAGTCAGAATCCTGATGGTCCACACTAAACTCAGCGATCGTGAATGAAAGTAACTGTGGATCTTTCCAGCATCATTGTTATGATTGTTATTGTTATTAAAGGGCATGGCCACTTCATCAAGAGGAGCTCCTCTTCAGCTACCGGCAGCTAAGAGTGTGATAGTTTACCGAAATGGGGATCCGTTCTTCACTGGCAGAAGGTTTCTCATCAACAAACAAGTCTCCACCTTTGACACTTTCCTTAACCAGGTCACCAAGGGTATTAATGCACCCTTTGGGGCTGTCAGAAACATCTACACCCCTAAGGAGGGACACAGAGTCTTTGATCTGGATGATCTGGAGAATGGAGGCAGCTATGTAGCGGCAGGAGTGGAAAAGTTTAAAACGCTGGAGTGAGTACTACATTGTAATATTAAAACTGTTGTGGTGAGCATTCGATCATTGTGCTTTATAAATTCATAATTGGTGAGAATATTGAACAGTTCCTGTGCATTATTTTAATCTATTTCTTGTCCTTTTTGATGCCACAACATGTTATTTGCTAATACACTGCCATGTACTTTACAACACTTTTTACTGCATTTTGGAACAGGATACACATGACAATAAATAAATCAAAAAACTTAATTAAATCAGATGTCGAAAGAGCCAAAATATATACCATATATATAATTAAGAACTTAGTTATAGGTTCATTTAAAAATGTATTAATACATTCTATCGGGTATGTATGAGTGGTAAGCTGTTAGCTATAAACATTTGAAAATTTACAATTTCACTATTAACAACCAATACTATTCCTATATTACCAGGATTTTACAGAATCAACAGATATAAATACCAACATAAATTTCAATTATAACCCTGCTGTGCCCACAGGAATAGCATGTGTGGCACTTTAAAATGGTGATTGGAAATTTACCATTGCATTCTTAACATAGAATTTACTACCACTGATTCAGTCTGTCGTGAAATCACTACTTAAGATTAGTTGATAATTAATCAGTCTTTACAGGCTGGGAGACAAGGGCAATTTGTGATAGGCAATAAATGTCAGTGATGTTCACATCCCAAGGAGGAATTCAATAAATCCCACCTTCAGTAATGAGAACTTGTATTCTAAATGCTTTTCTCCTAAAATAGCAGGAACAATATAATAAAGGATTTCTGTGTTTTAATATCAATTTTAATTAACCCATGAATGGAAATGATTTAAAAGTTTTTTTACATATTTATTGATGTAAGTTTGTAAAAACATGATTATGACAGAGATTTGTTTGCAACTGATTATAAACAGGTACGTTTGAATTTTCTAAGTTTGCTACTTACACCAGAAGGGCTTATGGAAAGTCATAATATGCATGAGATAACAAGGTGTAGAGCTGGTTGAATACAGCAGGCCAAGCAGCATCAGAGGAGCAGGAAAGCTGACGTTTCGGGCCTAAGGGTCTAGGCCCGAAACATCAGCTTTCCTATTCCTCTGATGCTGCTTGACCTGCTGTGTTCATCCAGCTCTACACCTTGCTATCTCAGATTCTCCAGCATCTGCAGTTCCAACTATCTCATAATATGCATGTATGTGTTTCGTAACCAGGAATTCTCACTCCTGACTAGAAAGACATGTATGGCTCTCAGTCTGATACATAACTTGCGAGGGTTTAAAAATAAAAGCTCAAGGAACAGCCAATAGAAAATTTTACAGGGCTTTGTAAGTTCAAGATGGAATCTAAGCAAAGAGCAGCATCCTCTGAGGTTAATAATAAGAATTTTGTTTTAAACTATCAATGAGATGGAAAGCTGTAATTATATTGGCTTGGCGGAAATGTTTTCCACTGCTTTCAAAACTGTAGAGAGTTCAGAATCCAAGTGCCAACAAATTTGGAGAAGAAAAGCAAACAAAGTGACTGCAGCTAAAGAATATATGGTGCTTGAGCCAGTTGAAGCATCTTAAACTGAAAGGAGTCAGCTGGCAACACAACACATTGAATAAGTGTTATGACAAACCCTAGTGACACACTAAATGCTGAAGTGTCTGGAAAGGCACAAGCTAAAGGTGAATATGTGATCTCACTACTTTCTAAAGCGGAATCCTTAACAAACAGTATGGATGTAACAAACATCATGGATGTTGTACCAAACAAGGGGGAATCTTCAAATTACATAATTGAAGAAATACACAACGTGGTTTCACCAATATTTCAGTTGCTGCGGGTGAATGACAGAGTCCAAACTAATTAATAATTTGATGTAATAAGTCTGTCTACTTCAGCACAGATACACAGGCAAATTGAGAATAAAAGTTCACTGTTTCATATTGAAGACCACAAAGAATTAACCGCCAAAGTTCAAACAGCTTTGAACTAGGGCAGGTCTGACGTCCTCCATTGAAGAAGTATAAGTGATTAAAGGTGCTCCTGTTCAGAAGAGAATCTTATATCTCAGACTGTCAAGAAGACATTCCATGCAAACTATCATACCTCCACATATGAAGAGAACACTTTTGAGGAGAATAGCGAAATTGAGGAGATTGTCTGAATTTTTAAAGTCCAAGGCTTGGGTGATAGATAGAGAATAGCTTAATCTAACTATATAAACAAATACATAACAATGATAGTTACGATAGAAATAATGTTTGGGGAGAATAGAATCATAGAGATTTAGAACACAGAAAAAGGAAAAATTAAAATGAAGAACTGTGGATGCTAAAGATCTGAAACAAAACAGAAATTGCTTTAGAAATTCAACAGGTGTGGCAGCATCTGTGGATACAAAACAGAGTCAATGTTTTGAGTCCTGTGACCTTTCTTCAGAACTGATAGTAGCTAGGAAAAAGTGTTATTTATGCTGATGACAGGGAGACAGAAAGGAGTGAGCGGCTAGATGGAGATGGAGCCCAGGGAGAGGGAGAAAGAAAGTTAGTTGGACAAAGAAATAGTTGATACTTAATCAATAAAGGAAAAAAGTTGATAACTGGGACCATTAGTAAGTGAAAATGGATTGACTATGCTGAAAGCAGCCCATGTCATGACAGAAATAAAAAAAACGATCTGCGGTTGCTGGAAATCAGAAACAAAAACTTAGCAAGTCTGGCTGCATATGTGGGGAGAGAAAGTGACCCTTTTTCAGTATTGTAACAGTGCCTGAGTGTGGGAGTGGGCAACGGACATGGAAGGAGGTGTTCAAGTTCTAAAATTATTGAACTTGATATTGAGTCCTGAAGGCTGCAGCGTCCCCAAGTGGAAGATGAGATGCAGTCTTGCAGCTTGTGCTGGAACATTGCAGCAAGCCCGAGACGGAGATGTTGGCCAGGAGCAGGGAGGTGTGACGAAGTGGTGGGCAGCAGGAAGCTTGGAGTCATTTTTACATGCAGAATGTAAGTGTTCTGCAAAACAGTCACCTAGTTTATGTTTCAACTCCCCAGTGTAGAGGGAACCACAAACGGCCATTCGGCCCATTATGTCCGCACTGGTCAAAGCCAACCACCTATCTATTATAATGTTACATATGGATCTGAAAGGATTAATACATGATTAATTGCGATAAGCACCACCACTGTGATGATGACATGAGGACATAGTGGAAGACTAAAGTGGCATATTGAAGGACACAGATATAAGGTGAGGTCATCCCAACAGTCTTTGTTGTAATGTAGAACCTATACTTAAAGCCAACAAAGAGTTGCAGAGATGCAATAAGCCTCATCTTGTTTACTCTAAAACAATGTTCTTGTTAGACCAAAAGATAGGTACCCTCATATACACTTAGACCACTTAAGCCCTTAATTAATCGACACACTCAGAATGTATGGATGTAAGCAGTGATTTGCACTCAGAATTATGTTGCAATTCTGAATTAAACTTTTTGCTCAAAATTCCCCTCAATATCATTAAGCAGAAAAGCTTCCATGAAGCAGTGCAATTAGTGAGCTTCTTAGCATGTATTATCAACAAAAATTTGCACTAAAAATATTCTGTGATACATTCAAAAGCATGTAATGCAATTTTATTGATATAGCTGAAAGTACATTTATCATAAAATTTGTTGTTAATCCTTATCTGGTTAACCATCTTTGAGTAACCTGATTTGAAAGTTGTGAAAGTGACTTTGAAAACTGCATAGAAAACTGTTTACTGATTTCATTGATGTGTTTGGAAGTAATTTACACTTGAAATTCCTCAATTATCTGCAGTAGCTCAACTGATTTTTGATGGATCGCAGAAGTTGTTGCTGTTTGGTAGGCAGTGTCTCAATCTCTGAGTCAGAAACATCAGATTCAAGGCCCAAACCAGGACTTGTTGACCCTGGAAGGAACATTCATGATACCACCAGTAGGTTAATACTCTGCTGACCCGCCCATGACACCTATGATAGGCAGTAAGACTGGGAGATATTCTGGACACTTAAGTTTGTTGTACAGCGCTGCCCCTCGGAATATAACCACTTTACTTCCTCTAAATGAAGGGAAATGCTTAGAATCATAAAATGAATCATTGAATAATTACAGCACTGAGAGGCCATTTGGCTCATTAAATTTGTGCTAGCTCTAAAAAGGAGCAACTCACTTTGTGACAATCCCCACCTTCTCCTCTTAGCTCTGAATTGTTTTTATTCAGATAGTAATTCAATTCCTTCTTGAATGCCTCAATTAAATGTTTCTCTGCTGCACTTTCAGACAGTACATTCCAGTTCCTAACCACTCACTACATGAATATGTTTCTGCCTTGTGTCATCATTGCTTCATTGCCTATTATGTTAAATAAATGCCCTCCGTGTGAAATGCTAGGAATAAGAGGGAACTCAATGGAACTCTCCACCTTTTATATCTTCTTGGCCCAGATGAATTGCATTAGGCTGTACAACTGAAAAATTACTTAGGTCTACCAGATTGAAAACAGGTAAAAGGGAAGGTCACCATAGTCTTACCAGACCGTATGGTTGCTCTCTCATTAGAGAGAAATGATTGTTAGTGGTTCAATCTGAGGGTTGCCACGCCTCAAGCAAGGGGAGAGGTTGAGAGGAGAGTCCTTCATGGTGACCTCATCCTGTGGGAGAATTGAATTTACGCTATTGGCAATTCCTCTGAAGGTTGGACCCCTGTTAAGATAAGCTATTGTTTTCTCATTGCAAAGGCCAAAACCTATGAGGCTGGTTCTCTGCTTGAAAGGTGATAAATGTGGCTTCTGGAAGGTGATTTAAGAGAAACTTATTGCCTTGTAGTGTTTGATAAATTAGAATATATTGGTGTGCTTGTGTCAGACGGAGTTTTTTGAAAATAAATCATGAAGTTGATCTGGTTATATGCATGTAAACAGCAAACTAAAAAAAAGCATAAATAGAACATGTAATATTTTTGATTTAGCGACAAACTAAGTAATCCAAGTAAATATTTTTGACAGGATAATACATTTTTCCACAATAATAATAAAGATAACCAATATTTGTAAAAATAAATACCAAACTGTTGTTGGTTTCAAACTTAGTTAAATGTGCCATGCTGTTGAATCTTACAGAATGCCACTTGTTCTTTTCTCAGTTACTTGCAAATTACAACAAAGAAGCCACAAAAAAAGACAAACGAAATGGTGAGTTTCTGCACATGTGGTCTTTACCTGTTGCAATGTATTCTACTTTGTAAACGTATTCATTGTATCTTAGGAAAGTAACAGCTGTTTTGATCGCAACAAATTCCCACAAAAAGCAGGTCGATAGCGAACATTTAACCTAATTTACTGCTGAGGGATAAATATTGTCCAGGTCGATGTGCAGAAGACTCCTGCTTTTCAAAATAAATCCACAAGATACTTGACAACTAATTATGAAGTCAGATATAGTCTCTGTTTAATGTCTGATTCCAGTGTGGCATATCTGACAGTGTGGCACTCCTCATTCACTCCTCAGCTTTATTTCTGTGCTCAAGCCTCTGAAGTGGGAGCTTTCTGTTAAAATTCTAACTTAGAGCTGAGAGGGCAACTGCTACCATTGACTCGAGGGATTATTGTTCCTTTGGCATTTGTCATCCCCAGAAAATCATGTCCACTTTTAAAATAAGAATTGTAATCAATGTAGAAGGTCTTGAAACTGACATTTTTTAAATACATTCCAGACCACGAGGTGTCAAAATCACATCTCCTGAGATCATCCAAAAGACATTTCTTGACTTGAGTAGACCTTCTGAAACAAAAATCACAACCCTTTCCCATCCACCACACCCCACAAGAGTGAATGCCTGCTCAAAGTAACTGAAGTTAGTCAACGCAAGATGAGTACCATGTTTGGAAAAGGGAACAATTCAAAGCCACATGGTAGGGCGGCCATATTGTTCTCAAAGAACAGTACAGCACAGGAACAGGCCCTTCAACCCACCAACACTGCACATTGACTCATGATGTCTTTCTAAACTAAAATCCTTTTCCTCTACGCCATCCGTATCCCTCTATTCCCTGCCAATTCATAAAGATGTCAAGATGCCTCTTAAATGTTGCTATTGTATCCACCTCCATCACCTCCTCTGACAGTGCACTCCAGGCACTTACCACCACTTATCATTAACCTTAACATCTCCTTTCAACTTATCCTCTTTTACCTTAAACTCATGATCCCTAATAATTGATATTTCTACCTTGGGAAAAAGACTCTGACTATCTGTTCTATTCATTCCTCTCATAATTTTGTAAACTTCTATCAGGTCACAACCCCATCCTTCAACATTCAAATGAAAATAAACCAAGTTTATCCAATATTTCCTCATAGTTAAAGCCCGCCCAAAACCAGACATCATTCTGGTAAACTGTTTCTGTACCTCTCCAAAGTCTCCAATTCCTTCTGGTAGTGTGGCAACCAGAACTGTACACAATATTCCAAATGTGGCGTAACGGAAGTTCGACACAGCTGCAGCATGACTTGCCAATTTTTACACTATATACCTCGACCAATGAAGGCAAGCATGCTATAAGCCTTCTTGACCATCTTATCCACTTGTGTTGCCACTTTCAGGAAACTGTGGACATGTACGCTTAGATCGCTCTGTATGTTGATGCTGCTGAGGGTCCTGCCATTTACTCCAAACTTCCCTCCTCCATTGGATCTTCTAAAATGCATCGCCTCGCATTTGTCCAGATTAAACTCCATCTGTCATTTCTCTGCCCAAATCTCTAGCCTATCAACCTCCAGCTCTATCCTGCTGTATCCTTTGGAAATCCTCCTCACTATCAATCTTTGTGTCATCTGCAAACTTACTAATCAGACCACCTACATTTTCATCCAAATCATTTATATATATTACACACCTGGGGGTCCCAGCACTGACCCCTGCTGAACCCCACTGGTCACAGATCTCCAGTCAGAAAAACACCTTTCCACTGCTACTGTCTGTCTTCTATGACTAAGCCAGTTCTGTATCCATCTTACCAGCTCACAGTGGGTCCCACGTGACTTCACCTTTTGTATGAGCCTGCCACGAGGGACCTTGTCAAAGGCCATGCTAAAGTCCATATAGACAACATCCACTGACCTGACCTTATCAATCATTTTTGTGACTTCCACAAAAAAACTCAATCAAATTTGTGAGTTTGTCTTCTCCCTTTTAAGCTTTAATGCTATCTTCAGAAAAATCCAGCACCAGTAGTAACATCTATGCCTTAGTACTGGACAGTATAACATGATAAGGTTTCCATGCCTGTTCCTTTTTGAGTTCACTAATACCACATCTGATTGTCTGGTAACAACACTAGTAAGTAATTAGTCTCAAGGCCTTCAGAAAGTCTGTCTCTTTGAAAGAATCCTGAAACAATTCTCTCATATGATGTTGACTTTCAAATTTAACTAAACTATACTTCAGGAGTGAAATCATTATCTTCATCAGGCCTACAACTTGTGTTTTGCTGGATGAGCCAGTCACATGCATAATGGACTCTTCCTTTTATATATAACTTGTAAAAGTGCACCCTTTCCTGTAACGGCACATCCCTTGAATATGTACACACTCACAACTTTCTCTTAAAACCCTTAGTAGTAGCTACATGTGCAGGACGGTAGGGAACAGAGACTGCAGTAACTCTCTCTCACCCTATCTGCAACACCATCAATATACAAAAGTCTTATTATAATGTTGAAGACTAGTGGTTAGGATGTTGACCCAAATATATATTTCCAATGCATGATCTATAGCATACCTACATAAATTAGTCAGTGTTCCTGTTTCCTTTACAAAATGTTTTTTGTGTGTTCTGACCATATACATTTATAATCTACAAATTATGTTGTCGAGAGATTCATTATTGTTTAGGTTCAATTTTCATCATTGTTTTAAAGTTTTGATTATTATTCACTTTGAGGCAACACCTCAGTCCAGATAGGTGAGCTGTGCTTAACGGCATAATGATATTGTTAAACATGCTGAATGACAAAACTGAGAAGTCATTATGGTACAGTATTAGTTATCTCCTTAAATGGAGAAAAAAAAGTAAAAAAAATCAAATCCTGCAATGTCGTATATATGTTTTACCATTCTTGCTAAGTGAATTAATTCATTATGTTTCAGCTTATTATACGCTATCTTTTACTTTAATCTTTTTCTGTAAATGGAAACATTAATAATTATGCTCCCCTGCTATCTGATTTAATCACTTTCATACTTGAAAGATGTATTGATTACAGTGTAATTATTAACTGGTGTGGCCAGAAAATCATAGATAGAACTGTTCAGGTCTCTTCAGTGGCCACTTTTGAAAATGGAAACAATGTTGCAGTAAAAGCTAATTCTGTTCACATCTATTTTGCACAGGAATTTTAATAAGACACTTCATCTATTCTTTGATATCAGTAATCACTCACTGACAGTTTAATTACATTGTGACCTTAGTTCAGTTCACTGTTCTATCAGTCATAGAAAAGCTATGGGTATAATGGCAACTGGTTTTAGGGAGAGATCCCAGAATTGGGGAAAGTATGCCTGTCGGGACTACTATTGAAGGTGAAGGGAGCATGTGGAATATTGCAAAGGAAACCAGAATAAAACAAGTAAAGACCATTTTTACTACTCCAGCGCAATGCTGCCACACAAAAAAAATTGTTCCCTGCTCTTCCCGTTTTGCATTCCATAGAACAGTTCCCTCTAGCCGATCTCGGTTCATTTAATTGTGAAATGTACGTTAACATAGATACCTTAGTCATTAATTGTTGCATCATATGACATATAGCATATGATAAAGTGTGCTGCAATGTTCTTAGTACTAAATTCTAAAGTCAGTGGGAAAGGTTCTGAATGCAGATAAACTTGATATATTAAAGGGTACAATATTCACATAAACATCAGGTACAGAATTTGACTCTGACGTAGTCACCTAGTCACCTATGACAACTTCTCCCTTCCTACGGCACCTTCCTGTATAAGCGTAAAAGATGAAAAGCCTGCCCTTTCACCTCTTCCCATTACAGTCCAAGGCCCCAGACATTCCTTCTAAGTGAATCAATAACTCACTTGTACTTCCTCCAGTTTAATAGACTGTATTCATGGCTCACAATGTGATTTCCTGTATACTGGGGAGACCGGGTAGACTGAGTGACCACTTCTGTGGAACACTGTTGCTCTGACCACCAGCACAACCCTGGGCTGCCAAGTTTAATTATCCATCCTTGCATCCATGTTGACATTTGGTGAACAAGCAAACTTAATGACCGAAAAGATCGTCAGTCCCTGCACATCAGGACAGCATTTGCCTTGGTTTTGATACCTTATGGTTATTGCTGACATGAGCATTGCTTTGTAAGATAAGAGGATTTTTAAAGAAGGCTGAAGGTTTCCTGGATATCCTGTCTTTTGTGTGATTAAATTGTATATATTCTCTTCCACTGAGACAAATATATAATTTTCTTGTATCCACAGTGTTTTGAGGCGTTGGAATAAATTTGCATTAAATTATGCTAACAATTAGGCCTTTACACTAGTTAACAAATTAAAACAGTTGAAGGACACCACAAAATGCATTAACCTTCTGCTCTATCTTTCTAGATTCGTCCAGTTGTTCACAGCCGAATTCTTGTTTCTGCACGATGGAGAAAATACAACTATGAACCATGTACCATCAAGTCAGTATTCATTTTTGTTTGGAATAGTTACCCTTTTCTACACAAGGTTACAGGTTCTCGGTGAGGCACACATAAATTAGGTACCAGTCAGATTTTTTCTTAATTTACAGAATTGATGTACAACTGTTGGAGTGCTTTTCCGAGAGAGAAACTTTGCAATATTTCTTTTTAAAATTTTGCCCTTTGATCGAAAGAAGAGGCGGCAGATGTGGTGTGCAGCATCTTAGGTCTGGAAATACAGCACTGTTGTCAATACTCAGCGGTGTGAATTCATAAATATTTTAATGATGCGAGATCAAAGAAAATTGGCAGCTGTGTTTTACTGAAACAAGTGATTTCCTGTTTATAAAGCTGCTTAATGGATCCAATTTATTTTAATTCTTGTTTTGCCTGCACTTTATTTTGTTTGATGGATTTTAAAACAAATGTAGATGAATATATATGTGTGTGTATATATATAATATATATATACCGCAGGTATAAACTAAAATAATTGTGAAATGTATGTTAAAATCGATACCTTAGTTGTTAATTGTTGCATCATATGATATAACAGATAATACAGTGCGCTGTCATGTTCTCAGTACTAAGTTCTGAAGTCGGTGGGAAAGGTTCTGAATGCAGATAAACTTGATGTACAGAAGTGTACAATAGTCACACAAACATCAGGTACTGTGGTTGACTTGGATGTAGGGTGATAGTGTAAGCCAAGTTATACTGAACCAGTTGTCTGTCATATGTCTCTCAACTTTCCAAATGAAAATCTGGGGAGGCGGGGACTGATCAGCTTTCAGTCCTTTTGCACCATTATCCAAAGACAAAACTACCCCCTGCAAAGTGAGACTTGAACACAGAGGGCTCAAACATCCTGACACAGAGATTCTTTATTCCACTGGCATCAGGCCATTATGAACAGTAAGGGGAACTGAAGACAAACAAGGAACTATTTACATTTTTTTTTACATGGAATAAAGCCTGTAGCTTACTTTGGGCTGAGGAATTCTTTGCCTATGTACTCTCCCTTTCTGTCAGACCTCCTTCCACCGAAGGCATACTTTTTCCCAGTGGAACTCTGTTTGCCAGCTCCTGTTACAGGGCCTCATTGGTGCTACCTGCTGGTGGGGGTCCCAGCAAACTGCTCAGCTCTTTTGCTCAGTGCCTTGCATTAATGTTGCCACCTGCTGCTAAAGGTCCCATTAGATACTTCCCTGCTTCAGGCCTATCATCCCAGAAACCACATAAAACACACAGTAGCAGGTTCAATTGTGCCATGATGGCCAGAATGTTAGAGTTCATATTAGTGGCAACATTCTTTTCTTACACCACCATTCCAGGCAAATGGTGGGAGTTTTGGTGATATCCAGCATTTCTCCAGAACACCTTCTTAGGCTCTTATCTGAGTGGTACCTTCCAAGGCTTTGGTGGATCACCCATGTTGGTTCTAGGTCAGTCAGGGCTTGAGTAACTGTCATTTTGGTTTCTGCCTCTCAGCAGGTCCTCCATGCATCTTTATCCAGGCCTTCCCAAACTGAATGCAACCACTGGATTCACGATGCACTGCTCACTCTCGGATTCTACATCAGGATTCAAATCCATTCCACTCACTGACACTTCAGATTCTCCAACACCACTGAGTCAGCTGCTTGCCTCCCCATCATCCACCTACCTTCTGGTCTTAAACAAGTGCTCTCCAGTTAACCATTTCCTGAGGTTGCTGTCCAGCTATCAGTTCATCAACATGGGCGTGTTCAGCTGCTTGATGATTGTGTGGGATTCAAGGTCACATGTATCCTGTATCTTATTCAGACCCCTGATATTCTGATTTTGGAGGAATACCGCTGTGCCAATTGGAAGATCAGTCCTATCAGCTTTGTGAACTGCGTCTTTCTTCTCAGTATTTCCCAGTGCTTTCGGACTCCATTTTGAAAACCTGGCTTGGCCTTGTGTGGTACTCAGTTGTCCTGTCATTGACCTGGCCCTCCCCAACAGATGTGGTGAGCCCAAGGAGGTGGTTCACCTGAAGGACTGTATCTCATCCAAAGAGGAGATAATGCAGCGAAAAGCCTATGGATGAGTGTGGGGGGGTTGATATAAATATAAACCAGCTCTGGAAAGTACTCAGGCCGCATTGTTTACTCTCAGGAGGCAAGGTGTGCAAACGGTCATGCAGAGATCAGTTGAACAGTTCACACTGTCTATTACCTTCTGGATGATAGTGGGGTTGTGTGGCTCTAGTCAATGCCATAGACCTTGCAAAACACCTGTGGCATCTTGCACTTGAAGATTTCCCTCCAATCACTGTGAATCCAACATGGAATACTGAAATGGACAAACTAATCATGCACTAACACTTTAGCTGTAGATGAGGCCTTTTGTTTATGGGTGGGAATGACCTGTGTCACTTGGTGAAGACATCCATGAGCACAGCACGCTGAGTCCTATTATTACTGCAGTCAAGAGCCATAAAACCCATTATAAGGACCTTTGGAGGTCTCTTGGTGACCAGCAATCCCAATTTGAACAGTAGTAATCAATACTGACAGTTATTTGGGACAGTAATACTGCTCTCTGGTCAGGGCAGTCACTCTTCCATCACTTGGGGTCCTGCTTGGACATGAAAAGCGTTCCCACATAGCACTCAGTATTGGTTCCAGAAGTCGCTGCTGCACACAGACCTTGAAGGCCTGCAAAGCCAAGAAGAAAATTAGTGGGAATGCTGGTCATGAACCAACTGTGACCAAAACATGTCTCTTGGGACTGTCGGGAAGGATGAATTGCTTCGCTTCTCTACTTATCATGAACCAGACAATGGAGGACACCATCCCTAAATCTTTTCTGGCATTTCGACAGATTCTGTGCCTGTTTGGACTCTCTCGCCAGCTGATGCCGAGTCGGTAGATGTTGAGTTTCCAGTCTGATGTCTTCATCAATCGGTTGAAGCTGTCTGAGATCCTCTTTCACAACAGATGGTGAGACCAGGCTGTACCAGTCTGTACCTAGTTTGAATCTCACACATAAGTGCATCAGTGACACCCTGCTGAACCTTAGTCCAAATGTCCTAGGGAATTGGGGTCAGAATTCTGCCTTTGACTTGGTACATGAGGTGTGGCAGTGACAGCCCTCTCCAGTTGAGCAGGGGTGGGTTCCATCCCATGGTCTGTCTTCTAACTAAGTGCATCAGCATTTGTGATACTTTTGCTTGATCTGTACTGGATCTGGAATCAAAACTTCACTCAGCGAACCGTTGTGTCCAAATTGCTCTAAGCTGGGTGGATGTTTGAAAGTAGCTGAGTGGGTTGTTGTTGGTAGATGCCTCAAACTGTGCAGTGATCAGAATGTCTCTAAACTTATGGAAAATAGGCCACCTCAAAGCTAGCAGTTTGAGTTTCATACCAGAATAATTCTTCACATTCCTTTTGTTCAGCTTGAGACCCTGACTAGGGTAAGAAATAATCACTCTTATTTCTGCCCTTGAACCTGTGACAGTACCATTACTAGGCCAAAGGAACCTGCATCAATTTACTGTGTGAAAGGGAATTGGAAATCTGTTTAGCCAAGGATGCTCCACACAGTATCACACCTCATACATCCTCTCCCAACTACACCTGCAGCAATCTCTGATTTCCTGCACAAATCATGGTGTAGGGCAGATGACAGTGCTCAACCTTGCACAAACTATAGTAGCTCAACAGTACAAAGAACCCGAGCAAATCCCTCCCCATCTTGGCTGGATCCACTCCTCTATCGCTGATTCTCACTGCCCAGGAGAAATGTCTTTTATGTTAACAAAGTGTCTCGGGTACAGTATTTTTGTCAAGAAAAGTTGAAACTTCTCAAATTAAATTGCAACCAGTTTTCGAAGGCAGCACCTAGTTTTGCAAGGGTCTCCTCAAACATGGATCTGAAGATGAGTATGTTGCCCAGATATGCATGGAGTATCCTGAAATCCAAAAGCATCATTTTTGCATGAAGGAAGCAGGGCCATTACAAAGCCCAAATAGCATTCTCATGTTTTTGTGAAGTTCCCTGGTGCCTGTTTGGAATGTCATCTTTTCAGTGTCTTGTTCAGCAATGGGTAGCTGGTTATAAGCATGGACTGCATTGAGACTACAGAAATACTTTGCACTTTGGAAAACTTGCAATGCTTTCTCCAACCTAAATAGACAGTAAGCGTCCTTATGCGACTGTTCTTAATCAACAAAGACCCTCAGTTTTCCCATCCTTCTTCCTCATGAGGACTACAGCAGGGGAGGCGTAGGACTTGATGGGTCTCGGGTGTCACCTTGTTCCAAAGATTTCTACAGGTAGTACTTGGACTTCCTTGCAACGATGGGTGGGATCTGGCGGTAAGGAAGCTTTATTTAAAGGTGACCCTTAGTCACAACCCTGTGGCTTACCAGGTCGCAATACATACCTAGTACTTAACCCCATGTTCTTGATTTGCTGATGTGTGATGTTGGAGAGGGACTAAATGAGGCACATTACATGCAATGTTTAAATGATATATTAAAGTAAATAAGGGTCCATACTGAACTTGACAACTCATGGCAATAGGTTAGCCCAGCATGCACTTCAAAAGTAAGAAATGAGCACATGCCTGACAAACAAGCCTGGATTGCTTTCTTTCAGCAAGATACTGGATGTTGTTCCAGTTAATATTGAAATCTAGCTTCTTGCCTGTTAAAAGGGCTCTACTGTATTGAATAAGTTCTACACTTTTTTTTGTCTTCTATATATCAGCTTTGATGCTGAAGCCTGCAATTTGATGAGCCACACATTTTTTGAGCACTAGCCAGTTATAGCTGCAGTACAAGTTGCACCTTACGAACTGAAGTACAGTCATAGACCAATTTAACTTAGATTAATGAAATCAATTTGTGAGGGTCACAATTACTTTAGGCAGTTTGCTTGTTCACTGATGTCAATACCTGAAGATTCACAAGTACAGATCAAGCTACTTCATTCTGGGTTATATCAGGAGGAAAACCTGTCTTTACCAA